GGGCGCTCCTCAAGTGGCGGTCGAGGGGCGTTTACAGAGGCGCCTCTGCGCCCCTGGCAAAAAAAAGTGTTCAGCCACCGCTTACTTCGCGTAATGGACGAGCCGCCCCTGCTGCCGCCAAAGAATGTTTGTAAGAGATCTGTTTTCTTGCACTTTTCCTTGAGGGCCTGGAAGGCATGGAAGTGATTGTAGAGTTCTCCCAATAATTCAGTAAATAATAGGAGGTTTTAGGAACCTCTTCTCCACCTCTGTGTAGAAGCTCATAGTCAAGGTGTTTATCTACACTGCAGAATGAGTACAGTTTGCCCCACTTTAGGTGCCATGGCTCAATGCTGTGGAACCCTGGGAGATGTGGTTTGACAAGCTTTCTCTGCCCGAGAGTGTTGCGCAGCAGTGAATTTTGCCCAAGGCCCAAATGCAGAAAGACTCACAGACCAGAGTAAAAATGAAACAGAAAAATCTTTACTCTTTACTTAGCAGAGATATAAACTTGCACACAAAAATCAAACTTACATAGTCCCCAAAATGAGGCATCTTCACCTTACAGCACAATAGAGAGGAAAAATAAACCTTGGATAAATCGCTATTTCACCATAGCCTCCTTCAGAGTAGCTTCTCCAGCATCCACCAGCTCTCCACTACTCAAACCCACCAACACCCACACTGTAAAAACCCATACAGATATACACCACTGGGTGTGGTTCAGTCTTGCTGGTTGACCTACTTTCCCAGCTGTATAAGATTATTAACACCACAAGGTTTTTCGTCACACACACACAAACTTGGTCCTGGTATGACTTACCACAACACTCTCCACCTCTTCGTAGAAGCTCATAGTCAAGGTGTGCATCTACACTGCAGAATGAGTGCAGTTTGCCCCACTTTAGCTGCCATAGAATCATAGAATCCTAGAGTTGGAAGAGACCTCCTCGGCCGTCATCCAGTCCAACCCCATTCTGCCAAGAAGCAGGAATATTGCATTTAAAGCACCCCTGACAGATGGCCATCCAGCCTCTGTTTAAAAGCTTCCAAAGAAGGAGCCTCCACCACACTCCGGGGCAGAGAGTTCCACTGCTGAACGGCTCTCACAGTCAGGAAGTTCTTCCTCATGTTCAGATGGAATCTCCTCTCTTGTAGTTTGAAGCCATTGTTCCATTGCGTCCTAGTCTCCAGGGAAGCAGAAAACAAGCTTGCTCCCTCCTCCTCCTCCCTGTGGCTTCCTCTCACATATGTATACATGGCCCTCATAATGTCTCCTCTCAGCCTTCTCTTCTTCAGGCTAAACACGCCCAGCTCCTTAAGCCGCTCCTCATAGGGCTTGTTCTCCAGACCCTTGATCATTTGAGTTGCCCTCCTCTGGACACATTCCAGCTTGTCAATCTCTCTCCTCAATTGTGGTGCCCAGAATTGGACACAATATTCCAGGTGTGGTCTAACCAAACCATGGCACAATGCTATGGAATCCTGGGAGATGTGGTTTGACAAGCATTCTCTACCCAAGAGTGCAGGAGCCTTGCAAATGATAACTCCCAGGATTCCATCAGCGAGGGTCATGGCCTTTGCTTGCTTTTGTCCTCTAAGGGTTGGGGTCCCTCTAAGGGTAAGGTGTTACAGCACTCCCTCCTTCTCCCCCTGGGTTGAGGGCAAAATCCGAGGCATTTCTTCTCTTGGCCAGAGAGGATGTCAGAGGAGTCCCCGCCTCCCTCCTCTCCAAAGAACTGACATCCCTCAATGCAAACATTCAGAAATCTTGACAGAACTGTGACTGCAGTTTGAAACAAAGGACGTCTGCTGCCCTGAGTGTCAATGGGTCCAAATGGTGGCAGGCAAGGATCTGCAGGTGGTGCCAATTGGTCTCTAGGTCTGAAGGGAAATTTAATAAATGGTCATTGCTCAGTTTGAAGTTTTGTGGCTGTGGCTGCTTCCGCCCCTCATGGGTGTGCAAAGGAATGAATGTGGGTGGGTTTGAGGTAATGGCTCCATTGTTAGGTGTATGGTAATTTGAGGCATTGTTTCCGGAGTCCAAGGTATGGTGGGACAGCGTTCTAATGACATTCACTAAAGGTTACTGCAGGAAAAATGGAAAAGGCAATGTGGGCATGTCGTGTGTCCCAATGGAGCAACATCTCATAACTCGGTTGTTGTAGGTTTTTTTCGGGCTATATGGCCATGTTCTAGAGGCATTCTCTCCTGACGTTTCACCTGCATCAATGGCAAGCATCCTCAGAGGTCGTGAAGTCTGTTGGAACTAGGAAAATTGGGTTTCTATATATGTGGAATGACCAGGGTGGGACAAAGGACTGTTGTCTGCTGGAGCTAGGTGTGAATGTTTCAACTGACCACCTTGATTAGCATATAATGGCCTGGCATCGTGTTCTCAGAGGAAAAGGGTTCTTGCCAGACATCAAGGGAACCTCTGACCACAGAAGGAAGCTGATGAGGAAACACAACCTGCAAACTATCTCCAGACCCACAAAGAAAATCCAAGGAATGCTCCGTTCAGCAAAGGACAAGAGGGATCCTCTAGCTTCTGCAGGAGTCTACCGTGTACCATGCAGCTGTGGACAAGAAGTCTCCAGAGGGACCACCAAACGCAGCAGCATTGCCCAACCACAAATCAAGGAACACGAAAGGCACTGCAGATACTTTCAACCAGAGAAATCAGCCATAGCAGAGCACCTGAGGAACCAACCTGGACACAGCAGATTATTATTGGAGAACACAGAAATGCTGGACCACTCTCACAACCGTCAGATTACACAGAGAAGCCATTGAAATCCACAAGAAGCATGTGGACAATGTCAACAAAAAGGAGGAAACCATGAAAATGAACAAAATCTGGCTCCCAGTATTAAAAAAAACTCTAAAATTGCAACAGCAAAACAACAGAGGGGAAACAAACAAGGACATCTAATCACCTCTCAACAAAAGTTTGCTCCAGGCACTGCCAGGCCATTATATGCTAATCAAGGTGGTCAGTTGAAACATTCACACCTAGTTCCAGCAGACAAAAGTCCTTTGTCCCACCCTGGTCATTCCACAGATATATAAACCCATTGTCCCATTTCCAACAGACCTCACTACCTCTGAGGATGCTTGCCATAGATGCAGGCGAAACGTCAGGAGAGAATGCCTCTAGACCATGGCCATATAGCCCGAAAAAACCTACAACAACCCAGTGATTCCGGCCAAGAAAGCCTTCGACAATACATCTCATAACTCGTAATTGGGGAGTCGAATTTCTTGATACCACTCTGCTAGAGCACAATGATCCCAGACTAACATCTCTTCTCAGTTGATCCCTGCAGGGTTCTGGGCCTTGGACGAAATCTCCGGCTGAAGGTGCTCAACGCCCCTCTTGGAACTGCCGATCCCACCATTCCTCAGGATGTTGCCACGGCAATTAAAGCGGAGCCACAGCACTATAGCAGGGTATCATGACAGGTCTACGAAGCCCTGTTCAGAAGAGCTGGGGGCGGCTGGGAAAGACCATCCTCTTCTCTTCTGATTCTTCTTCTGCGTGGCTGTTGCACTCCCAGGACGTCTTGGGCCTTTGTGGTTATGAATCAAGGAGCCTAGGCCACCTGCATGGGGAGGGCGGGCTGCTCACAGATGTACCTGGACTTCCCTCCACAGCTGCATTGCAGGAGGGACCCCTGCCTCAGTCGCCCACAGTAGCCATTATTGTTGCATTCTCCAAGGTCCCTGGAAAGACAAAAGGGGGAAGGGAGGGAGGGAATAAAATTAAATTTGCCTGTCTGTTAATGCCATCCCAGGGTGTGAGCTCCCAGCAGCCGCTCCAAAAATGACACAGGATGCCGATCCGTAATCAATCAGGAAACTTTTACTACTGGATATGCATACACAACGAAAGCCAGGATTGGCACACCGTCTCGAGTCAACCCTTATATACCCTCCCCCGTATTCGAATCCCTTTTCCCCGCCGATCGTAGTTCCCGCTCAATGTTCCCCGCCAACCACCAACTGCTCCTCCCAAGGCCACCAGCTGCATACTCTTATCGGCTCTCCATGTCAGGATTCTGGTTTTTTGCGCCAATGTCCAAGGCCAGGAAACCGAGCCCTGACATGACGTCCCCCTCCTCCTCCTCTTCTTCCTGGAAGGGAAGTATACAATAACATCATGTCCCTTCTTTATCCAGGGGGCCTTGGTATTTC